GGGTGGTTGGGCACTAGAACAGGCTACCCTGAGGAAGTGGTCACAGCACCAAGACTGACAGAGTTCAAGAAGCATTTGGACAACATTCTCAGGCACATAATGTGATTCTTGGGGAGCTGTCCTGTGCAGGGCCAGGAGTTGGACTTCAGTGATCCTTGTGGGTCCCTTCAAACTCTATGATTCTATGTTTAATTTTTTAATTATTTATAGAAAAACTGCTTATACAAACTACAGAAAATCACCATAGCCTCCCAATCTGATTATCAAATGTTAGCTAAATCTAAGCATATCATTAACTTCAGTTTCTGGAAACTATCCCAGAAAAATAAAGCAATGTACTCTGCATGGGAAAGTTCATTAAAGAAACCCTTTTCCAAATATTTATAAGTAGATATTAACAAGAGAAAATCATATACCCACCTCTGCTGAGCCAATGACAGGATTCCTTAAGAGCAAACTAAGATTTTAAATATTTTCATATAGTTACATACTCAACTTCTTTAAATAAAATTACATATAGATAAAAGAAAATATTAACATATGTATTCCAACCCGAGGAAACTTTATACTTATATAAACTCAAATCCCCCTTAAGGATGGACAAGTATTACAGTTTCAATGTTAACAAAATGAAACAACCAATCCTTAATTAAAAAAAAAAGGCTCTATGTGAAATTGGTCCCAATTAGTTGTTAAAATAAAGTTGAGATGAGAATGACTTTAGAACCCGACCATTGCAACAATCAGACTTCTAACTAACTTATCAGAACACTAAATGGGTACACTGAGTGCCCTAGAAAGCTGGCTACACCTTGCTCCAAATATTACCACAGTTTACAAGTTTATTTAGCAACACTCATTTCTATATGTTAATAATAGAAAGATAAATATTAACCATTTTGCAGTGTGTACCTTTTTAAAGTTAAGCAACACTGTTAGCTACCTTCAAAAGAATTTAAAAACAGACAAGACAAATTCTTGAGCTTCTACAGAATTAGGAGGAAAGTTGTCTATATAGAAATTAATACTCTGTTTATCTGACTCAGCTTTTCTTGTACTTTTTTCAAAGACTTTGCTAATATCTATTCCCACTGACATAATCCCAGACTACTTCAAGTAACAAGTTTCATCAAGCAGGTCATCTAATAACATTCCTCAACTACAGACAGTATATTTATAAATACACAAAACATAATTTAAAGATAGACCCATGCAAAAAGAAAAATTAACTTTTTTCCTATTCCAGTCATCAAGCAAGTGTTTTATATAAAAATAAAAACTAATTAAGACTGTCTGAAAGTATAAAACAGCAGAAGGAACTTGTCAAGAACCCATAAAATTTTATTGGTGCCAACCATAATCTAGAGGAACAGAAAAACACAGAGTTCTTGTTTAATTTGAATACTTCTATGCAACACACTGTTGACATAAGATGCTTTTTCTGTCCTCTTATTGTGCATACCAGCAAGATAAATACCAAGGGGGGGGTTGGGTTTTTTTTAAGGAAAAAAGCGAAATATGGGGGAAACAGGAAAACTACTGCAGGAATCCTAAGAATTTATGACTGAAACAACACTCAACTCCTTTCACTCAAACCAGGTTTGTTTCATACTTCTCTACCCAGCTCTCTATCTTCTGTTTTTTCTCACTAATATGTTATCTCAACAGATACCAAAAGTGACTGTAACAATACATCTACCATGAGAACGATTTTTGTTTTCAAAAGATTTCAAAGGATTTTCATTTCAATTTGATAATCACTGCTGTAAGAAACACCATATGAAAATATGAATTATGTTGGCATATACTGGAACTGCTTCTGCCATCTTAATGCAAGACTAAGGTATATCTTGTCAACTTTAAGATTTTTATTCAAATACATAAACAACTAAACTATTTCACATATCACCAGATTACTACTAAATTAAGTATCATTCATTCCTTAACTTTGTAGGGATTTCCATAACACCATTTCAGACTGCCATCAACCTCTGGCAGTGAGCTTTGAAGATTGGGTAGAGAGTGCAGAGAAAAAGACCAAACACACACAGAGAATTGTCCACTCTATTACCTAGCATCCTGTGCCTCCCACCTACCATTAAGCTACAGCATAAACATACTACTTCTATACTCAAATGAAAAAGCACACACTGAACAGACAATCATTAAGTCAGTCTCATTCAGGATTGTGGGGCTAGCATTGCCTTGCACAGTAATTGCATGCCCTCTGCACAGCAAGGACAGAACTGGAACAGAGGTAGGATGTGTGATGATTGGTTAACATGTCCATGTAGTGCTTCCACAACTCAACAATTAAAGAGGTCAGCCCAATCAGGGAATTCTGAATTCCCTAAGCCCATCAGCTGGTCTGTGTCACTCATCCAAAGAAGCTGTGCTCTACTTTGTGCCACCCTGCCCAATAACCATGGCACTCACGGATATTAATTTTAGCCCAATGTTGCTGAATGACTGGATTTGCTGTTGTTCTGACCTGGATACTCGTACTACTGAATTACTGGATGTGTTGTAACAACACAGATAATTGTACTACTGATCTATATTTATTACTGTACCTATATTTAGCAATAGCTTGTTTATCCCTAAAGCTATTGGGTCTAGCATCTGTTACTGTATCCTGAACCTATAACTTGGCAGTGCCACCTTAGGCCCTTACAAGGATCTAAGATAAATATCAATCATACTTTGGGACTTTGAGTACTTTAATTAGCAGAATCTCTTACACATCAACAAGCTTCTCCCACTGCTTCAAAATTAATCACATTAAAATGTATTCCCATTTTCCTGATGTAGTTGGGAAAGAGGAAATGTATTAGGTATTTGCTTATATTAAAGTGACAGATCTTTGTTCAATTCTATCAAAACAGATGGTATGACTACAAAGAAAGTACACTTCCAAAATAAAACATCAGGACTGAAAGGATAAAACTTACTATCAACATGCAGCTTAACTGAGAATGGTAAAAAAAAAAAAATAACCAAAAAAACTTTGTATTAAAATAGAGAAATGAAGGAGAAAAAGGCTTCTGATTATTTTTAATTAGCCAACAAATTTTTTGAGAAGTCACAAGAATTATGTTACAAAGAAAAAAACAGGTAAGTAAATGGAGGTATAAGTTTCTGAATCAATTTTTCAAAATCTATTTTGCTGCTTAGATGTTTTTATATTGAAGTATCTGCAAGACCAAATACTCAACTACACAGTTATACTGGTCCTGCAAAGACTTCAATATCCCTTTTTGTCTTAATAAGCTAAGTAGCCTCATTGACCAACACAGAAAATCAGGGCCTTCACAGTCCTACTTTTTGTCAGAAATTTTGTATCCTCTTTTATGAAAGTTAACCTTCATGCTATGAGTTACACTACTCTGACAGCAAAATCCACTTATAATTGTGAAAGTAGTAAGAATTACTTAGTATCGAATACATGATCATTCACCAAGAATTACCTCTCTTTCTAAAAAATATTTGAAAAAACCACAACCTTACTTTCTGAGAAACATAATAACCAGTTCTAACAGAAAAAGCAGTGTGATCTTTCAGAGAGAACAGGATTCTGTATCTCTCTGACATAATACACAATATTGAAGAAGTAACTTCACCTTTATGTACTTCTATTTGCCTCCTCAGTCTTTATCTAAACTGCCTGATTATATTTATGGAAGTGTACAACTTTAAGACTATTCAAACACTGTCTTCACAAAGCAAAGTCTTATTCTTTGTTAACTTTCACACAAATTCAAGAAATTAAAAGAGGAAAGGATTAGTAGAAAGCCTGTCATGGTTAGAGATTATTAAAAAAAAAAAAAAACCAAACAATATTACAGAAATTAACTCTCCAACACCAGAGTTATGAGAGATGGTAAAAATGAACCCAAATTCAGATGGGTTTTCAGATGAACTTTGACCTATACCTTGAACATATCTACCATTCTGTACCTTGAAACCCTGTTATTCCCTATACTTACTATAACTTCAGGAATAACATATTTCTATATACCAACATAAGCAATTTAAGCCTTTGAAACTGTTTCATTTTGGGGAGAGGAAGGTACTTGAGGGTTGTTCCAATACAAGCTGTAGTGGTTTAACCTGGCAAGTAGCTAAACACCACACAGCCGCTCACTCATCCCCCCCGCCCCGCCCCTCCCCCTCCCCCATTAAGCTAGAACGTACAAAACAAGTGATGCACAATGCAGTTGCTCACCACCTGCCGACCGATGTCCAGCCAGTTCCTGAGCAGCGGCCCCCGGACAACTTTCCCCCTAATTTATATACTGAGCATGATGCCATATGGTATGAAATGCCCCTTTGGCCAGTTTGGGTCAGCTGTCCTGGCTATGTTCACTCCCAGCTTCTTGTGCCTCCCAGCCTACTCGCTGGTGGGGTGATGTGAGAAGCTGAAGAGTCCTTGACTTACTGTAAACGCTGCTTAGAAACAACTAAAACAGTGTGTTATCAACCTTATTCTCATCCTAAATCCAAAATACAGCACTATACCAGCTACTGGGAAGAAAATTAACTCTTTCCCAGTGAAACCAGGACACAAGCCTTGCAACCTTTTTACGTAAATCTGCAGACTTCCTGGAATTAGTTCGTTGTTAAATCCAAAGGTTGTATTTAGAGCACTCGCTCGTTACATGAACTCTATGTAACATTATCTCATTTTTTTTATTTCGCAAAATATAAACACAGAATTGCTCTGCCTCTAGCGCAAGATTCTTTATATAACTAGCATTGTAGGAATCCCGATTAACCTCATGGAAGGATAAATATAATAAAAACATTAACGAATACTTACAGGTGGTTTTTTTTTTTTCATTTGTCTCTTCTTCCCAAACATAACCTAATTAAAAACTTCCACACTTCCACTGGAGTTTAGCACACACTTTCCGCCCGCCGCGGCGTCCCCCCACCTCCCCGCGGGGGAAGCGCATAGGGGTGGCGAACACCCGACAGGGCACGGAAGCGCTGCTACTTACTGGTTTGTGGGGGGAGCGTTGAGCGGGATGGCCACCTCCTCCTCTTCATACTCAGGTCCATCCAACGAGTCGCCTTCGTCCATGGTCCCCAGCCCCCCCGCCAAGGAAGGTGGCGGCGGCGGCGGCAGCGGGGGAAAGGCGACAGTGCTGGGTTTGGGTGGGAGCAGCAACCCTCCAGACACCTCCGGCCCCTGTACAATTGCTGACGCGGCGCCTCTGGACACCAGAGGGGCAGGCCCCGAACCTAGCGCCAGGAGCCCCAACGCCGAGCACAGGGCCGGACCGCCAGCGCCTGGGCTGTCCCCGCCAGAGTCCAGCAGGAAGGGGCCCTGCGACCCCAGCTCCTTGTCCCGACATAAGGTGGGATAGTGCTCCGACTCAACTCCGCCAACGGCTCCCACCATCCCGGCGGAGGTAACCGAACCGCTCTCCTCGGCCGCCATTATGTTAAACTTCGCTCCTTCCTACCTCTCCCCCCCCCCTCTCCCCCGCCGACCGCAGCACTCCGGGGAAGTGGCGACGACTTCCTCCTCCCCGCGACTCCGCCTGTAGGGAGCGGAGCTGGGACAAGATTTCTCCAGCAGAGACTCTGAACAATAGCCGTCTGGGTACCTAAAGTAACTCCACAAGGCCCCAGCGCTGTGCCTTATCCCCCTGCGGCCGCGAGGGGAGCAACTCCCGCAGACAACTCCACACTCTCACCCCACCCTTAAGAGCCAGCGAGAGCGCACGACTGCATGGGCGGGACAAAGAAGAAAAGAGGAAGGAAGCTAGCGACAGAGAAAAAAGCAAATTAGTGAGCTGCACCTGCGCGTTCAGTTTCTCATTTGCATTCTCATGTAGGGAGTAGGCAGCAGATCGCGGAGCGTGAGGTAGCTGGGAAAGAAGATGGGGGTAGGTTCCCTGCTCCCTCTCAAGGAGTGTAAGGGATACAGGGAGGGGAGGGAAGAATAGGGAGTCTTCCATTCCTGCCTCGGGGAAAACAAACAAATAAATAAAAAAAAAAATCACACCAAATAACGCAACAACCAAACAGGAAAAGGCGAATCTCCCCAAATCGTGCCAAAGTATATTCCTTTCCCGAGTTACAGCATTGAAATTGAGGACAACTGTGCGAGTCTCTTGCACTGACTTGTGGAAACAAATCCCAAAACTCGCAGAGTATTGAATCAGGTATATTTATTCACAGCGCTGGGTGCATAGGGGATATCTCCACCCAAGTATGCACCCCCATTGCCTTTGTTCAGCTCTTTTTATGCGATATATTGTTACATATGCATTAGCTGTGTCAGCAAATTCCAGAAAAGTGGGAGGGGAAATCATTAACATACACCACTCCTATAACTCCACCTTGGATACGCCCCTTGGGGGTCTTCTTTCGGGGGTCTTTGGGTGAAGTAAGAAGTCTTCCTTGGCTCTTAGCTTTTCACCTTTGAGGAGAACTGCTGAGTTGGCACTGTGCAATTAACTCAAAACTGGTATCATCTCTAGGAACCTCTCTTTATCAACCTTCAAGATCCCTTCTCTTGAGTCTCAAAGCCCCTTATCGAAACTCCAAGGTTTTCTGTTCCTGCTAAAGTCTTCATTATAAAATTAACTATATCCTATCTGTAAGTTAGCATAAGCAAGCAAGTAAGGCCCTATCCTGATTCTATCTAAAAATTAGCTAGTAAGCAACTAAGGCTACAATCTTGTGTCATTACTTTATATTTTGATCACCCTTTGTCACACCACCGAAGTGTGAAGCAATAAATACACACGTAGGCCTGTAGGGAAAGCAGGGTGGTTCGCAGGTCATTCCAGTACTGATATCGGGGTTTAGAGATGTAACAAGAATTTTTGTAGTGGAATGTGCCATAGAAACTACATATAGCTGAACCAAATGATTTAAAGGGACTAACTAAGCAAAGAAACAATGAAGAAGGGAGCTGAGGCAGGCAGCCAAGTTACTCTATAACCAGGTATATTGTCTTTAAGAGGGTCATAAAGCACTCACTTAGAACTTTAGGGGCTCGACACAGGGAAGACCACTGAAGACACCTGATAAAGCCTCTCTGAGACCTTATAAGAATATGTATATATGCTAATAGGTGTTGGGAAATGTCATGAATATGTAACAGGAATGTGGGGAATGAAAAATCAATAATCATGTAATGCTGACATATAAGCTGTAATGAAGATACCTCTGTGTGCACTTTGGTGAATTGATTCCCAGGGCCCCCGGTGCGCTGTGACTAGGCAACGCAATGTAATAAAGAATTCCTGGCTTTGAAAACTCACAAATTGAGTCTTAGAGATTTCTTTTAAGAGCCGATTTTAGGCAACAATACAAGAAAACAAACAAACAAAAGCAGGAATTTGCTCACTGCTATGCTGCTGCCTACAGGGAGAACAGGTCTAGTGAGGCACCATAGCAGGGATGCTGCAAGGGGAGCAGATCTGGGCAGGGGGTGATGCCACAGGCTCCAGCTATTAGGGGCAGAGGAAGCAGGGGATCGAAAAGAAATCAGTTTACATGTCCAGCCACTGTATACATGGTGATGAAGGTCTTTCTGGGTACTCACATGCTTATTCACTGAGCACTGCTCAATGAAAAGGATTATTGTATAGTGTAGTGGTTTGACCTTGGCTGACTGCCAGATGTCCACCAAGCTGCTCTATTCACTCCCCATCCATCAAGATATAAAGAAAACAACAAAAACTTGTGGGTTGAGATAAGGACAGAGAGATCATTCAGCCATTACCTTTACAGGCAAAACAAACTTCATGGGGGGAAATGAATTTAACCTATTGCCAATTAAACAGATAGTAGGATGATGAGAAATAAGAACAGAACTTCCCCTCATCCCTCCCTTCTTCCCAGTCTCATCTTCATTCCTGATTCCTCTACCTCTTCCCTCCTCCAAGTGGTAGAGGGAGATAGGGAATGGAGGTTGCGATCACTTCATCATGCGTTGTCTTTGCTGCTCCTTCCTCCTCATGCTCTTGGGTGGGTCCATCCTGGAGCCAGATGGCATTGGCTCTGTCAGACATGGGGGAAGCTTCTTGCAGCTTCTCACAGAAGCCACCCCTGTAGTCCCCCACACTACCAAAATCCATCCACGAAAACTCAGTATATTCTATACATAAGAATAAAAACACATATCAGAGTCTACAAGATATTCTTTATCTTATAAGAGAAGCAACTACATTGCTACTAAAAATGTATTTAATCTGCACTTCCCTGAAATTATAGGTCTTTCTTCTTATTACCCAAGCCCATGAACTTTTACACCCAAGCTTATCTTTGTCATCAGTTAATTCTGGTAACTTCAGTGGGTTTACATGGATACATTAGGTTCACCTCATATGTAAGTACCTCCATGATCAAGACACTGTGTGACACCTTACCAGGCGATATAACATGTAGATATCTTTTTTTTTCCATTATTAAAATAGCTAAAAAAAATATAGCACGTTGACACTTGCATGTCTCTCAAGAGTTTTCAGAAGGCATCTAAACATTCAGGTTTTCAAAGCTTTGTATTACCCAAAGGTATTAAGTGAATTTCTCCTGAGACCACTAAAACAAACTAATACTCCCACTTTCACAGCTTTCCACCCAACATCCTTTTATCTGCTGAAATGAAATTTCGTATCATGCCTACTAAAAGCAACAATCACTTCTGGTTACAGCATTAATATCAGTGGAATTATGCTGGATTTGTGGCAGTGTCAATGACAGAAGAATCAGGCTGAAGTCCTCAGCTTAAAGGATTCTAACGCATTTATACTCTGCTGTTTTTCTGTTTAAGAAATTGCAGCTTCAATAGCAATCTCTTATGACTTTGATTTCTTTATTGCCATGTTTCATTATTATATTTGTAATGTCAAATAATCTTGTAGTTTACTGTCTCTGGGGGTTTATATTTAGTGCTGTTTGCTATTCCTCAGAGATTTTCAAGTAAAATGATTTTAACACAATCTTGTTGCTTTTGTAGAAGTGATATTCTGAAATTTAGAAATACAGTGTAAATATTTATAAGATTCCTTTTATGAGACAGTATTTTCTATGTGCCTTCAAGGGCAACAGCATGTGTACAGGTGTCACAGTTTAACCCTAGATGGCAACTAATTACCACACAGCCACTTGCTTACTTTCCCCCCCAGTGGCATTGGGTAGAGAATCAGAAGGGTAAAAGCAAGAAAATAAAACATCCCTATATTATCAACACTGTGTTCAGCACAAATCCAAAACACAGCCCCATACTAGGTACTATGAAGAAAATTGCCCCAACTAAAATCAACACTATAGGTATGTAGGATTCCACAGTAAGGATTCCACAGAAAGAGAGCTTCTTATAAGATCAACTAAATTGTTGCATCTCTACCCCTGACACACCATTTGTTTTCATTTTACAGGCAGAGTTCTCTGTCCCAGGTTGCTTGGCATTGCAGATATCATTAATACCCATACATTTTGTCTTTCCTCTGTTAAGACATACAAGTTGGCTTCCATTAAACAAGCTTTCATGGGACTTTATTTGCATTACTGTATTTGAATAAAGGAACCAAAAGCTTGCCACAAAAACCCAATACAGGCCAGCAGACTGGGGGTAGGCAAGAGCAATAAAAGCTAAGAGAAAGGAGGAGGAGAGGGGGTATTCATTATTATGGCATTTGTCTTCTGAAGCTACCGCTCCATGTACCGAGGCCCTATTACTTCCCAGGGAGTGACTGGACATCACCTGCTGATGGGAAGTAAAGAATAAATCTTTTTGCTTTGCTTTGCTTCCGCGTGCAGCCTTTGCTTTTCTTTATTAAACTGCCTTTATCTCAAGCCAGGAATTTCTCATCTTATTTTCTCCTCCTGTCCCCCTGAGGAAGGAGAGTGAGAGAGAGGCTTGGTGGGCACCTGGCAGCCAGCCAAGGTCAATCCACCACATGGTGGTTGACCCCAGCCAGTAGCCAAGCACTCAAGAGTAAGGTGACAAAAATCCCAAAAGCAATTTATGCATCACAGTGAGAAAGGCCTCTGTGTGAGCTCTTTGTTTGGTCTGCCACTAATCTGCATGGGGCTTTTAACCAAATAGTACACATGGAGTTCAAAAGCAACTGCATCTTATGCTGTCTCTTCCTCAGGCAGTATTTAGGGGAGAAAAGAAGAAATGGGGATAATGTGGGAAGATGCAGGAAGCAGGAATGCATAGGAATTGTCATGGCATGAATACATAAGAAACTTCTTGTGGAATTGCTTGGCTGATTTTAACCTTCTTGCAGACTCAGCTGAGACCTTGCTTCTCTGCTGTCAAGGTACCATTCTTAAATATGCCATATTTTCTTTTACTGTTTTTGTCTGGGATAGATTTAATGTTCTTCATAGTAGATTGTATGGTGCTGTGCTTTGTATTTGTGATGAAAATAGTGTTGATAACACAGGGTTGTTTTAGTTATGGCTGAGCAGTGCTTGCACAA